GATATCTTAACAATTGAGGCAAAAAGAAGCTTCACTTTGAAAAGAATTTTCGTAGATTGGCTGAATGTATTTCTCTCTAAGTATTATTTCTATGTATAAGCGTTGTTTTATACTAGTAGTTGAATATCGGGCCCATTCCTTTCATAGCCTTCACACCTGCAAGTTACTAAGCTAGACGGCTGGAATCTACATGATAACTATTGCAAATTGGCAAAAAGTACACTAGCCGAAGCATCACGCGAGTTAGCCACCTCCGCCAGGCTGATGGCAAAAGCTGACCTTCTCGTGAGCTTAACCGTTTCGCCCAGCGCGGCACATTACGATAGTCTTGTCACACACACCCTACCAGGTAGTTACACAGTGGAATTAGTTTGAATGCTTCTTGGGATGGAGGTCGAACTACCTCTACAACCGAGCTTTCAGACAAATCCGCCGCATAGAAAAAGTCGGTCAAAATCTGGCTTGTTTTTGGGAGATTGGGGTAGTAATAGTTGGTGATATGGGGCTGTTTTATTTTCCAACGATGCGAATGAATCGTCGTTGTCAAGGACCTGAAATCGCTGGAAAAGGGTTCTGTTTGCAATCTCGGTCAAGACCGTTTCCGCTCCTGCCCAGTCGCAATAGTCACCGGATCTCGAGCGAAAATTGTAGTTCCGATAGCCGGCTAAGCTAACAGTTAATCGGAGCTTGTCAAAACGTCGGGCAATTTACGGCTCTATATCAACCATAACAACACATAAATCAACACAATCTTGATGCCACGATTCCAAGAAGATCGAATTTGGAGCTATTACGCAATATTCAATATCATCGTCTAAACTAAGCTAAGTACGAGTGGCTATATACGATGGATTACAGTGCATGTGCCAGGTACGTTTGCTGGGGAAGCACCTCACAAGGCATCAAGAGGGTGCAAGCAACGAGGACCGTCAAACGGAGGCAGCTGAATGGTCACGATCTGAGCCCATGCTTTGGTTCGTACCCAACGATACGAATATTGGCCGTCCTCAATTTTCAATATGAACTCAGGGACCACCTAACAGCTTGACGGTACCTGGAAGGGACCACCTTTAAGGTTATTGGTACATGAGCTCATGACTAGTCCATGGATGGCACGACTTAGTCCAGGAATGTAATCGGAATTTCCCGGGGAAGGAAGTGTGCTCTAACTTAAAGGACTGGACTCGAGTTGGGAACCAGTCATGTGTAAAGTGAAACAGATGTAGTAGCCTACTACAAGCAATTGGCACAGCTCTCCTTTCCTTTCTCCTTTGATCTTTTATCGACGTACCCCTCGTCATTTTACAATATCGACGCTGTCTACCAGCACTGCGCTTTTATAGGCACCGGCTGTGGGCGGGGAGAGAGAGGAATGTGGATGGGTGAGAGAGAACGAGAGCGCAGAGAAGGCGCTGCGTGCGCGGAGCGGTCACTTTGGCGCATACAAACGCCTTGAGTGATATTATAAATTTTTTTAATGTAGCTGAATCACTGTTTGACGGCACACTATCTAGAAACGGCCCACTATAAAGTCCTTTGAATGGGAATTTTGATATTTGATGCTTTGATGATGAAACATTACAAAAGCTTGCCTTTTTGAATTTTTTACCGATTTCCTCTTTAGCATCGTATTAGCTGATCATTTTTTTCTTGTGAGTCCTAGTGAATCGAAGGTTGTGAACGAGACTATCTCTAAGAGAATCATGTGGCGGAATAGTGACATAGCTGTTAAGAACCTTAGATAAGTCAACAAGTAGTAATTATTCGTTACCGTTAATTATTATTACCGTCAGATATACCCGTCCTTGGACACAGAAAATACTATTGAGTTAACTATCCAATTGCCCCGGCTTTCTGAGCAGTTTTGATATTAGCGCTTGAATGCGTACAAATGTCAATGTCTGCACCCTCCCACGCTACAGTAAGTCCTCCCTTCAGCGGGCTCTGCACTGGCAGAGCGCGGACGGCCAGAGTGCAGTCCAGCTGTTGTTATCTCTCAACGTGCTCCCTCCCCACCCATCCTTGCGCTCTTGAAATAAATTCATTCAAATTTCCATAAATTGACCGAGCTCAGATTCACGGAACTATCGGGTTGAAGCAGTTACAAGTATAACAACCTTGCTCTACATGTTATACAAGCGCAAAATGACACACAGAAACCTCCTCGTCTAGCCATGCGTAAAAACGACCACAATCTCGTGAGTTCATTGCCTAATCTCATGAGATAACGAGAAGAACTGCTCTGCTCCAGACGGTAATGTAGCCAGGGACCATGCAACTATAGAGTCAAACCACCTTCAAGGACACCTTCCCCAACAGTACGGGATAAACGAATGGCCAGCAAATGCTCGAACGGTACAAACTTCCCTTCTTCTCTTAGTTGAGGTCTTATCGCAGTTTCCTCCAACTTACACGTCCGCCCGATAAAACGTAGAACGCGCCCACACCACCTCTTATAATCGCCTGGCCGGTGGGCGGAGCTTCAGCAACCGTGGATGGACGAGAGTTAAGGAAAGCGCAAGAGAAGGCATAGCGTGTACAGTCGTCATCCTTGCACTTGATAGGGGCGTGTCGGCGAGAAGGAGCGTGCACACTGTTTGAAGCCTTCTCAGCCTTTTCGTTGAAACGCGTATGCGACAAAAAGTGATAGAAAACGAGTAACACGAAGGATATAATACAGTAATGTCACTTCCTGGTTCAACGATTGGTGCAGTACGGGTGCGGGCGACCGCGCCGCACGCAGCCGCACTGACATTGACTATCAAGTGCAAGGATGACGACTGTACACGAAAACTCTCACCTCAACTTAACGCCTCGAAGATTTTGAATATTTTTCGTATTTTTTTACCAGGTAGAACGTGAGGCTACAACTCTGTGTGCTCCTCACAGCAATCAGAAAGCCATCCATAAAGAGCGAATGGAAAGAGAGGTAACTCCCAACTATCACACTCGAATTTACAGCTTAAGTTGGCCATGGATGTTAATGGATATTGACGAGTGTATGACGGCACCCTAAGCAAATACATTTCATTTCAGAAATTCTGGATTTGACTCCAGCTAAAATAACAAGCTAAAACAAAATAACTGGAACGAATTAACGATGTAAGGGGAAGAACTATGTACCTCAGAGGAGCTCTCAGTTCCCACTCTTCCACCGTCACGCGGTCCAGGTAGTCCTTTTACTGTGCTTCAGGAGGCACCACTGTTACGTTCGTTGTTTGTTCGTTGTTGTATGCAATTTGACATGCTAGGGTGTTCTGCTTTGGAGAGAAGCAGTTTGTTGGCTAACCATCTGCTATTAACGTTCCCCTTGTGACATTTGACTGGGGTGACTGGAGCAAGAACCCAGTCCATTCAAAGCAGAGCTGCGGCGTGTCGACTCTCTCTGAGTCTGTCAACTATGTAGGAATGTGTGCGGTACCAATGCAGCCACCCGCTTGCACCACCTTTCCCGCTCCTTCGCCGGGTTACGTGACAACTAACATTTTGGCGGGATCCTGCCGCGATAGACCAGAGCGCAGAGCAATAAAGCACTGCGACTGCCAAGGCATCGTGAGGTACAAAAAACATGACGCGAGCCAGGAGAAGACTTTTTCGGAGGGAATGGGCACATGAGTGAGCAGGACTGTATGTGAAAGATCAGAGTGGTCACAAAGCGCCATTCAGGCAAGAGAGCGCAGAAAAAAAAACAGAATTGACGCCAAGGAATGAGCTCTAATTATCCGTGGACCCCTTTGCCGTGCTCACCGTACGTGCCGCTTCTCTGCTTTTTTGAGTGAGCTGTACTTTCTTCTGAAGACTCCGCAGTTAGCGAGACATTCAGGTTGGGATATTTTTTGGGCCAATTTGGAGCCGCTCGAGAACCCTGTTCCCTCTGTACCATTGCAGGTGAAGGTATTCAGAGACTCTAAGAAAGGGAGTGGTCCGATCAGCGTTGACTGGCCTCACCCCGGAAAGCGCCATGCGTCAGGTTCCCACGCAGATGATGAGAGATGTTGGTAGGATGTAACTTCTACGTAATGTCCGTCTATGCAAGCAGATGTGTTTATTGGCTCAGGAAAGGATTATGATCACGAAGAAAGACGTCTTTCGGCCGCTTTTTTCATTATCTAGGTACTTACGAATGTATGCGAACAAAATTTCTACTGTAAGTTGATTACTTTACCATTTTGTAATGTTTTCCACACGTCCGATTCCCTTACAATTTCCTCTTCCCACTTGGCGATGCTGACACCTCTGCACTGTTTGCTATTTAGGGACCCTTCGCTTACGAGTCCCCATCCCCACCATAAGGCGGTCAGATACCACCCTCTCATTGGAAAGTCCCTATCGACGTGCGCCTTGTCTCCAACTCCGGCACCTTTACTTCTCTTTCGCCTGGAGCTTCAACGCTCTAGCAGCTAAGTTCCATGTTGCCCTCAGATATGGACAGTGCAGTAGATATCGCCGCAATCAGTCGGGGAGGAGCGGAATGATCCCACCCGATGCACTACCATTGGCCCTTTTTCTTTGAGTCGATTACTAGAACGTCACTTTTGGTTGAAAAAGCAGCCCGAGAGCGGGTTCATTCCGCTCTTGCTGATCCCTCCCCGTCTGATTACGGCGACATCACCAATACATAAGTTTCGAGAAGTAGACAAAGTTGCAGTTTGAAAACCTTACAAATAAGAACATCAAGTTAGTGGTCGCGTTCAGGATAGTCAAAAATGCTTTCTGTTGTTGTCTTCTGTGTTGGAATATCGTATCTAATAAAGACGCAGTTTATCGTAAAAATTGAAATAAGCGATACAGGAAATAAAACGTAGGCTCTGAGTTCAATATAATATGACGATGTAACAAATACCAAGAACAATGTGTGTGGGCAAGAGCACTAAAAAGTCCAATTCGCTTAGTGTTAGTGTCTTCCTATGAAAATCTTCATAAATTTGTTATTGAAGCAAAGTCAAAGCACGTGTTACATTTATTACAACATACACCAGCACTAAAAAATATCGTTCGGATTACCTCAGTAGAAATCTAGGTGACTGGTATGGTTTGACTTGTGAATAGTAACTAATAAGGAAATCTTTTGTTTGCTTCTCGTTGAATGAACCGTTCGTCGTGCAATTTGGGCAAAGGAATGAACCTGGGAATTGTACTTTCGGAAATTGAGGATCTTCAGTGTCACGTCCTTGTAGTCGAGCATTTACTATGTTGTGAGCTTTCCATAAGTACAAAAATACATCTTCCGGCTTGTGAACCTGTAAAAGTAGCTCGCTAGTGATTATAGCCACGCATGTTTATTCATCTCTATCTTTTGCCACAAAGTTCCCCATTCCATGTCGCGGAAGTCTTGTTCGCAGCGGATGAGGGGGCGTGTTAATGAGGCTGGGTTTGGCGCCCTGCCAGCCCATTCTCCCCCAGTTGGTGAAGGGGGTAAGCCACAAATTAGTGGAGAATGACTGGCACAAGTGACATAATACAGTCTTGTCGCTTGCCAAAAGAAAAAAAAGCGGAAAGAAACGAAGAAGCGCCGCGCTAATCCAGTCCCTGACCATCATCCGCGGCAAACAAGACTGTCTAAAGTAGGGTAAATTTATGGATAGGTGGGGCATAGAACGAAGTCTATGGAGCAGACCTGTGCCAAACTGAAACCACACTGCAAGAGAAGGCGGGGGTTATCCCTCTTTTTTTACAGGCTTTTTTGATACAGCACATATAGGAAGCAGTAGCGGGTAAGGGTACAAAACGACAGCGCAACTCGTTTTGGAACTTCTCCAGTATGCTTGAAGTATTGCAAACAATAATTTCCAACGTAAAACTATGCCAGAAGGCAACTTTACCTACCTGAGCTTCGATCGGGAATGAAGACGTGGTCATTTTGTGGAAGTGGTCACGACAATGTAAGCAGCCAAAGAATGAAGTCACCCATGCACGAATCGCTTGCAATGGCTCAAGCGGCTTGAAATCAGCTACTGAAACCGATTAGAGCTTGTCTTGCATAAAAAAGTCCCGAATAACGATAAACGACAAAAATAAGCGAGTCAAGTATTTCCATCCTTTTCCCCCATCAAGAACAACGGACACATTCGCCAAAAATGGAAGCGGATGGCCCATATTTTAGTGAAAAGAAGATACTGTTGTATCTGTGAAGTATGCCATCAGAGGAACGAAGTGCAGTGGAGCATTATAGGACGTCAGTTTAATGTAGAATCAACAGAGATGCGAGAGTCAACAGCACCAGGATGCGGTGATCGTCAAGTGGGCGGGGAGCACGCGGCTGAGGTGGAGACACTCTATGTCTCGAGCTCCTGCCCCCTCCCCCGCCAGGCACTTTCACGTAAAACTGCCCCACTTATATACTAGAAATCCCTGAGATGAGGTAGGCGTGGCTGCGTACTTCAAACTAAACGTCCGTGTGGCTCATGCGTTTAGAGACGGCTACCTTTCATTCGACCCAGATGTGGTCACGTATCTGTCAACAGGAGAACAAATGGCGGTTGTCTCCAAATTGAAGCATCTGACGAGCTAACCAGATTGCTGCAGCCGTGTTGCGAATGCCACGCCTACCCCGTATCAGGATAAAGAGTATATGCTGATCGCCCAGGAGGCTTTGCTTAATGCAGGAAGCTCTGCCTTTTCAGGTTATCGTACATTTGAGTTGCTTCTGCCTCGCCGTGAGTAGTATCAAACTCACAGTGCTTTCAGCTTGCTTTGCTAAGCCAGAAACGGTGAGTGCAGATGTAGGGCCAAACCATAGACCCAAGCTTCCACGGAATTGGCCGCTTGATCCACGGCAGTGATCCCAGTCTGAGTTAATCGCAAACGGATTACCAGCCGCTTCCTGAAAACAAATTTAACACGACTAATGTCGACTGAGTTCAAACTATGTCTTAGTTCTGCATGTGCGGGAACCTAAATCTGTCCATGTACAGTAATCTCATCGTGCCTAGCCTGTTCATGATCCAACAATCCCTATTTGAATGAGAAAACTTTTTGCTTACCTCTGCTGCAACAAATTCCTTTTGCCAGTCTTCCGTTGAAATCGCGCTGTCCAGTCCCTTGATTCTCGATGAAATCTCTCAGTCGAGCAAATACTTTGACAGCTCTTGTGGAACGATCCAATAAAGTCTACAAAAGTCCGCATCAAAATATCGATAAAATGCTCGAAGTTAATCTCAAATACTAAATAAAATATAGAAAGAGATAGAAACGGAAACGAGATCACTGTTGGGCACCAAAATGTAAAGTAGTAATTTGCCCGCTAGGCAGCGTTCAGACTTCGCGACGGCAGCGCTTCGGTCGCGCGTTCGACGCGATCACGCAGTTGAAAGCATGCGCATCGATCGCGTCGAACGCGCGACTGAACCGTCGCGAAGTCTGAACGTTGCTTAATGAATGACGGCGATACGTCAACTAACACTATTGCCATAGGTGGTTGTGACGGGGAAGTGGTCGGCAAGCAGACTGACGAAACCATGAAGAGCTGTTAGATTAGTACCGATCAATGGCCCACCACTTCGAGAACTTTCACGGAATAAAGCGTAACGCATTGCCTTCAACATGTCCACCTCAGAGACATAGAAGAGCGAACGGCATCTGCAATTTTACACATTTGAATCATTATCAACTGGTAAATCTGGCGGGAGAGAGCTGTGCCAGTTTCTTATGATTTCAGTTACGAAGGCTCAAAGGTGCATTTTGCCACAACAAATCGCGTCTACAGGGGGCACACACAGACGTGAAGGTGCTAGGTAACTCAGTTGTGAAGAGAGAAGCGGTAAAAACAGTTTAGAGCGTCCTAATAAAAAACCCTCAGTTTCGAGCAACATATGATATGCAAAGAAAAGAGGTAGCGCTTTCAGACGAGAAGCCAGACAAGTGAGAGGTCACATACAGTCTCGTTCGCCAGGGCGATGGGGCGTGTCAAGGGGCTAGATTCGAAGCGACGCCAGCTTGTTCTCTGCCAGTTGTGGAAGGTGGCAGACGACCACAACTCGCGGAAAGCTGGCTGGCGCCACTACGCCCCCCCCCCCCTGACACGCTCACTGCAGCAAGCGAACAAGTGTGAACAGAAGAGTTCCACGACATGAAAATGACGTATAAAACAGCCACCATGGCAATGTCTCTCAACACGATGGCTGAGTTCCCGCGCTTTCATCCCACTCTCTGAGTTTTTTCATGTCACAATAGATGAAACATTTCTGCAAATTGTAGACCCTGGTTGTCTACCGGCAGAGTGGACTGAACTATTCCACTAATCACTAACTGTGCCTTTAAATTTTACGAAAATTAATTCAAATTACGCAAAATTTCGAGGGTTTAGTTTTCGAAATTTCTCATTATTACAACGTTTGAGTAGAGAGTCAGTGAAGCTTAGTTCGAGCTTACTAAGAGCCGTGCCATATCGCCCAGCGTAAATTTCAGAACTCCAGGGCAGAAGAGCGCCGTTAGTGGGTTTTTGAAAGCCAAGACGATTATGGAGTTTCGAAGGTGCTCAGTGAAGAGCGATCGTTGTGGATCCTTTTTCCAGCTTCACCGATGGAGGTGCCAAGAGAAGGGCGAAATGTGTTTTATGTGGAAAGTTTTAGGTTTTGATCTACCACTATGACTCGCTACTGCGTGGAAGAGGCGGGGGAAGAACATTGAAGAAAATATAGGGTCGGTCAGTATAGTACGCGGTTTTTTTCCCTTTTGAAATAATCGGCGCTGAATAAGAAGAAAAAATTTCTGACGCGATTCCGCCGTTTTTTTGCAGAGAATTTCTTAGCCAGCGCTCACGGCAGTCTTCTTAGTTTTCTTTAGTGCCTCTTCCAGCTAATATTTATTGCCCAAAAACTGAGGTCAGATCAACGAAATCGAGTCAATTTTCGACACGCCTCTATTCATACTCTAATAAAAAAAGCTAAAAAAACACGGGCCCAGCTGCTAATATATTGACTGAGAGGAAAATAACCCCCCCACCCCTCCCCCCCCCCCCCCCCCCCCCCCCGCCTCCCTCTCTAAGATGCTAAGTAACAGCTTCAGGTTATTTCGAAGATTTCAGTATTCGACCTCACAGACAAGCATCGAACCTGATGCCCTATTCTGTCCAACTGAGAGCTTACGGGATTACCTTATTAACTGGGAATCATGACAAAAGATTGAGGGATCGTTAGATGTCACAGAATGCTTCCTTGCCAATTATCAAACCATCACCCTCAATTGATATAGACGTTCGAAAAATAAGTAAGGTAGGTTCTGCAGGCAGTCCCTCCCCAAGAGAGGGCCCCCCACGCGATCCTTTTACAGGGTCCGAATTCCTACCTCTTGATCGCTTTGACCAACTCCAAACTGTCCATAAGACGCATCTATATTCCACAAAGTTTGAGCTTCTTATGTAGATTGAGAGCCGAGATAAAATTTAAAAAGTAGTTGTCGAAAACTTACATTGAGTCGACCCGAATTTCCCTTTCAATGAAATAAAATCGACACAAGTCGAGAAATAGTAAGAAGGCAATTATACTATCTTATAGTGCGGAAAATTATCTATCAAACAGTGTAGAACATATTGAGAACAATTGCCACTTCCCATATAAAATGTTGTGAATATGAATGAAATATAAAATTATACAAAAAAACGTCATTACTTATGGGCCAACCTGATAGCACGTCTCTTCAATATGGAAACAACGCTCACATAACCCTTCTTTGATGGAAACCAAAACAGTCTCAGCAATCACGAACTAGAAGTCTTCCCGGATCAACCACACATAGAGGCACGTTCTACTTTTAGGGTGAATGAAACAAAAGAGTTGCCTGATCCGAAACCACAGAATTTGTGCGAATGTCACGGTTCAAGAGCCGGTTCATCCCACTTTCCCCCCCCCTCTTCTAGCCCTATATGGCCCCATTTCGGTAGACAAACTATCATACTCTATATATAAAGGAGAAGTTGTCTGTGTGTTTGTCGGACCAATAAGGAAAGTAGTGGGCGGTCCGCCGAGGCCAAGCACAAAAATCCTCAAAGGCCTAGAGGTGAGTAAAGGGATTGGAAAAAAGACGAAGGTGAGAAAGGGGTCGGCCATTGAAATAAGGCAGAGTCACACGCGGAGGGGAAGGTGTACAGCGACAGGGGCAGCGCTCGCTCCAGGAAATTCATCATGGTTCCGAAACACTTGGAAGCGCTCTAGAGAAAGGGGCAAACTTCCGTGAAGAAGATCCTGTGTACGCTGGATGTACTAGATGTCTGGCCAGGGCCCATCTACAGCAGGCGGAGCGTGTCCCTTAGCAATGTAAGCCATTGGGCCTCACAAAATTCTTTGGCTTTCTGGCAGATTGGTTGTATTAAACGAGCAGAGGCAGTGCCCGCACAGTGAGTTGAAATGCCACACAAGTGATAATGTCGTCACCAATCTTATTAAAGCATGCTGTCTCTAATAACGCGATACCAGACCACTACACTACCTAATGCACACGATACCGGTCCTCTTACAACAGATTTTCAAAGCCTCAAGAGCGAATTTGTCCTAGAGCGTAAAATTCGCCACCGCCGCGTGAGGTGGAGGTGAGGGGGAATGGCGGTGGCGCCATCGTGGTAACATTCCGCTCCAAACATTCCTTATAGTGAATCTCCTTCTCACATCGCGGGGCGAGCTAGGGAAATTTGTCTACAATGTAGAGAATGTTAATAATATAAGACGTTGAGGCGGCCCCATGTCTAGCGGCGCGGGCATATGAGACTAGGATGAACGGTAAAGAGTTTGATAACAGTTGGTTTTCAAAAATTTCTCTTTTGACAGAACGGCGAATGCCGGGGCGCAGACTCTGGGCCGTAGAACGCGCGCGAAACTCTGGCCCGATACCCACTTCACACGCGGAAGGAGAAACGAATGAAATCAGTATATCAAAAAAAGTGGACAGGATGTAGTAGTGGTGTAGGTCCAGAAGTATTTACAAAAAAAACGGAAAAGTGAGAAACAGTGACGAAAACAGAATCTTACTTTTGTGGGTCAGCATCACATGGATTCGTTTTGTTTTTTCGGCTATGATAATGTGCTGAAGGCAGAGCTGTTTCGGCCCCACCAGATAAGAATCCTTCGAGTTCTGCTAGTAGAAGACGACGAAGCCTGGTAAAATCGGGATTACTAACTGTGAGGACGTAAGCCTTCTCAATTACGTCAACAAGCACAGAATGACTCTTTTCAAAACAACTCTACTCGCACAGCGTCCTGAGTTATTCATAAAAAAAACTGCCTTGTTCGCTGCGGATGATGGGGCGTGTCAGTAGGGTTGGGTTGGCGTGCCGCCAACTCGTTCTCCACCAGTTGTTGAAGCGGCTAAGCGACAAGTAGGTGAAATGACTGATGCAAACGGTATGATACTGTCTTTGTCGCTTGTTCGCTTCAACAACTGAAATAAAGCAGGTTAGGGGCCGCGCCGAACCCATCCCTGCTGGCGCGCCCATCATCCGCAGAGAACAAGGCTATAATTATGAGCCAGCCCATCTAGGACACATCATCGCTGAGAATGTTCAACCAGGCAACGTGGTGGGGATGCGGGAAACTTTTCGGAAACGACTTTTCCTCTTTTCCTCCTACCCAGTACTGTGAGACCCCCAGTACGTCGAGCGGGGCACGAACGCAGATCTCCTTTCAACTAGGGAAAATCAACAGACAAAAAAGTCCTGATCAAAAGCGACCTCCCTCCCACACTTACCAGCCAC